ATTTTGCAAAAGAGAGACTACCAACTTTTATCAGATTCTGAAAGTGTTCTAGGTTCAGAAAAGAAGTTAACTACTAATATTTTGAGTTGAGTCGTAATTCTGGCAGCCAAACCCAACCTGTGTCTTTCTACAGTACTTACTGTGAACTGCTTTGCTGATTTTACACCTTCTAACTAAATGACCCTCAGCAATTCATCCAACATTTTCGAATCCAATTGGTTTTAAGTTTAAAAATCACAATTATAATCGTGCCAGACTTCTATTGCCAGACTCTATTCCTCCTGATAACTACAAATACAATCCCCATTAGTGTTATAATACATAAGACAAACATAAGAAGACTCTGGGAAGTGGAGAGGTGAAGGCAGGCCATCTTGGGACCTCATCACATGACAGCGATGATACCTCCCAGTTGCCATTTACCTTGAGGAGTTCTGCTGGTCCAAATGTTTGATGCATGACATCAGAGGAGCCCGCTGAGGCAAGCGTAGAGTAGAAAGTGAGAAGCTTTACTTAAAGGATAGTAGAACAGACTACTCCCTGGAGGAAAAAGGGGACCCAATCCTTGTTTTTTTGCATTTGTCTCCTTCATCTTATTCATTTCCCCTCATTCTGCATATGTAATCAGAAATACCTGTGGGGAGGCCAAAAGATGGGAAACAGGTAGGCTGGGAGCCCAGGGTGAATTAATTAGCAGTTCCTTGTTTGCTCAGAAGTTGCTTCATTAACAATTCTTTAGGGGGCGCTGTATAAGCTGGGCTTTGGGACATTAATGTTTCAATCTCCCACAATCTTCAACCTTCAGGACCCAAACCTGATTTCTTCTATCCGACCCTATTTACCTATCTATCCTGATTGCCTATTTTTAAATCTGGCTTCTGTGATGTCTCTGGGATTTCCTTTTTTGCTTCACTAGCCCAGGCTTGGAGCTGAAAAATCCAGCAACCTGTAAATACCTATAGGTAAAACAAATAAAAAGTAAAAATAAAACTGAAGATAAAAGTAATAAACATAATAACCAAAATAAAAAGTTCAGTAGATAGAATAAACATAAGATTGGAAAGGACAGAAGAAATAAGTGATGAACTCAGGTTAAAACACATTATAAT